CAAACAGCTGTGAGTGATTCAACTTTTCCCCGCCAGGCAACAGCGACGTGGCACTGTTGGGGGGGGGGTTAGTGATAGGCGTGGTTTGTCATTTAATATTCCTAACTGCTGAATTGTGACGTATTCAGTTTAATGTTGATTTTATGGTGTATTACTGCGCTACAACAGCTATTCTGTCTTTAAGCGTATATTTTATATTAGCAAACACACGTCATCAACAATAAAAATTAAGAAATACATTTATCAGGTTTTATAATTCCGACTAATCCACAATGTAACTCATGAACTGTTATGATTTCGAGATCAAATGGTCAAAAGTTCATTGTCACAACTATGAAAAAAACGCCACCTCTTGTAATGACCTCATTAGAGCATGATATAATTTTCTCTAATACTGTACACGGTTTAGAAATTTTTGTCTACTGTATTATGGAAAGGTGGTTGGCCTGCCTCAAGAGAGAGAGAGAGGATGATAGCCACGGTGTCAACATACTAGGCTTAGCGAGTGTAGGATAACTGAATTCACCTCGTCATGCCACTCACATCTCCAAATGTGATGAGAGAGACGACAAAGACCACACAATTTCTGCAACATTAATATTATACAGTAATAATAGTACGAACCAAACAGAAAGACAAAGAAAAAAAGAAGAAATCGATTCATCAGTTAAAAACATAAAATATACAGTGGTTACACAGCAAGACAAAAATGTAGGTATTTTTTCAATTAAATCAGGAAATTTCATCTTTCTTAAGTGCCTAGCCTTCGGCATTATTGAACTAATTCCATCCACTCTTTCTTTTTGTAGTCATCATGTACACGAAAACTGAAACGAGTTGATAATTTGTCATATAAGGAGTGTGTGCCAAGTGTCACCCTGCACACACGTAACAGCATCACGAAAGCTCTGACTGGCTAATAATATCATTTTTTTTAAATAAACAAAACGTATCTAGACCGATATAAACATAAAAATATACTCCGTAATATAATGCACTGAATAGCATATATACCGTATTTCATAATATCCACGAATAACATATAAAGGCATTAAACATTTTAACATACGCTGTCAGCTCATCTTGCAAACTGCGCGTCTTTCTTCCTCGTGTTCTGTCCCCCCTCCCTCACCCCAGTTATAATCCTGCTCATATATAACTAATTTGTCTATGGAATTCTTATCAGATTATAAAAAAATAATTTCAATAATTTATATAAAGGTCATCTAAATACAGTATTATTTTATGGTGTTGATTGGATACGTATATTAATAAATATAACCGACACGACACTTCTCCTGCCTCACTCTGGTTAGCTCATCAGCAAATCACACGCCATCCGCCATCGTCCAACTGACCATACCAATGATAGTTGTTTAAGTGGGAGTCTAAGCTTGAGAAGGCACTAGAGCGGTTTGGTTATTTCACGCATGACCAGCGATCTGCAGCGTGTGACAATAATACCTGACGGAGGAACAAGAACTAATGTAAACTAGAGGCTAAGTAGGGCCAGGTGAATCATCTAATTTAGGCAGTCTGTAATTTTCAGGTTCTATTAGGATGTAAATTTTACGCCTTAATTTAGGTTAACCAATTAAGTGTAATATTACATCTAAAATTACAAGGAATAATCGCTGTGCAAACCCTTGTGAATCTTGAATAACTTAACCCCGGTGTGTGTGCAAGGAGGTTTAATACATAAAGCATGACGTCATGGATGTTTTTTTTATAATTAAAAAATAAATCTTGACAAGTTGTTTAAGGCAAGATATACATGCATCTTTTAAATAGCCCAGTGATTATTAATTTACATACAAAAGCAAGTTCATAGAGACGGTACTTGTACAAATTTCGCGAAAACAACTCGATGGTCCTGAAGAAAAACAAAGCGAAAAGCACGCACACACACCCACAGAGTCAACCAATAATGACGAACAGTTTCTCGATGAAATGTGGCAGTAATTCTAGCCTTAATAACCTCGGATAAAAACCCCGCGGACGTACTAGCCATGTGTTACCTCCCCAATGTTTCCGGCTTGCCCATTCCAACTGAAAATGTGCCCGCAACACCAACAGCGAGAACCTGGTGAAGTGGGAATTACGTCCCCTGTAAAGTCTGGTCAGGCACATGCTAACCTTATTTCTTCTTCCTTGTGTGTTTTTTTTCCCTGCTGTCATTTATACACACAATAAATTACATGTGACGATAATTACCAAGTAGAATTAGTATATTTATATTTATACAAGAATAGAAGAACAACGGATCAAAAGAGGCTGACAAGATGATCCCAGGAGATAAGAAAATGCCTCTCTCCTTATAAAACAAAAGACAGGTTAAAATTAGATGGACAGACGAAATAAGGGTGATGGGGGTACTCGACTGACAGTGAAGGCTTAAGACGGGAGAGAGTACGCAAATATATCTTCATCCAGCAATGAATTGATTACAGGCAGATGATGATGATGGTGGTCGTGGTGTGATGATGGTAAAGATGGTAATGATGGATGGTGATGACGATGGTGGTCGTGGTGGTGATAATAATGTTGGTAGTGATAATGATGACAGGGATGATATCTATAAAATATCATCCTTATAATTATCTAATGTGCTTCGTTATAAATTTTCCTTCACTAGATTCTATTAACTACATTTTTTTTCGTTTAAGATGAATTACTCTGTTTAATTCACATATACTTTATCTCACTGCGTTATTATTATATATTTCTGACTCCTCTTCATGTGTTCATACTATCAATTCCCCCTCCCTCCCCCCCCCCTCCCTCTGGCAGGATTTACACATAATCACAACGCCGTGGGAGTGAGAGTCGACACAGGTTCTAGTGCTCGTGAAGGTTTACATCTCGGAATAAAATAAAACATACATACAGTACACGTTCCCATGACAAATATTCCTCATAAGTAAACATGTGAGAATGTATTACGTGCCTAAATCATTAACTTAAAGCCCAGACACAATAAAACTGGTATTAACATAACAATAAGATTCACTATTTACTATACACATTCAGGAAGAACTAAGACGAAAGTTTAAGACAACAAACTTCACTTACAAATAAATTATACTTTTCCCAAACTAGGATAATTTTGTCTCCTCGCTGGTGCTACGTGAATGTATTTTTTTTATGGAGATTAGCCTACCCGGGCACAGGTCACTGACCCACATCGGGGCCTAGGGGGGTGTAGTAATAGTAATAATAATAATAATAATAATAATAATATAACAATATAACAATAATAATAATAATATAATAATAATAATAATAATAATAATAGTAATAATATAACAACAATAATAATAATAATAATAATAATAATAATAATAATAATAATAATAATATAACAATATAACAATAATAATAATAATAATAATAATAATAATAATAATAATAATAATAATAATAATAAATAATAATAATAATAATAATAATTATAATAATAATAATAATAATAATTATAATAATAATAATAATAATAATAATAATAATAATAATAATATAAAATATAACAATAATAATAATAATATAAAATAATATAATAATAATATAACAATATAACAATAATAATAATAATAATAATAATAATAATATAACAATAATAATAATAATTATAATAATAATAATAATAATTATAATAATAATAATAATAATAATAATTATAATAATAATAATAATAATAATAATTATAATAATAATAATAATAATAATAATAATTATAATAATAATAATAATAATAATTATAATAATAATAATAATAATAATAATAATAATAATAATAATAATTATAATAATAATAATAATAATAATAATAATAATAATAATAATAATTATAATAATAATAATAATAATAATAATAATAAATAATAATAATAATAATTAATAATAATAATAATAATAATAATAATAATAATAATTATAATAATAATAATAATAATAATTATAATAATAATAATAATAATAATTATAATAATAATAATAATAATAATAATACTAATAAAGAACCATAAATAAAAAAATAAAAAATAAAAAGTGAGAAACAATATATGTTTGTTGTGTTGTCAACAGTACGAGAAACAGCTGAGACCCTGAAATTGTGTAAATGAGGCAGAAAGTCAGATCAGCAACCTGGGACTAGGTCACAATTTTTGTGATGCCATATGGCAGCAGGGTCTACCATTAGACAATACATTATGCTTCCAATATCTTCCCATATTTTGTGTTTCATATATAAACTTTATCTCAAGTTAACCAGGTACAGTACATTTCTATATCTTCACTTTCAAGAAATATTTATCGTAGGAATTTATAACAAGTCTGTGGATGATACCGTGGCGGGGTGACAGAAGACGCTGCCATCTTGCCTCGGGGTTGATGGATCATTGTTCACTAAAATCATTGGATCATCTGAAGGTTAGGCACCCCAGCTTATTTCACCTGAAGATTAGACACCCTAACGCTACCTGAGGGGGATGTTAGGTTAGGTTGGAGTTAAAGCGATTAATCTTCAGGTGATATAAGTTGGGGGAATTGAAATTTCCTGTAATCCAAACAGGTGACAAGCTGTGACAAGCAGTACAATGCATTTCAAAAATTATAAGGATATAATTCAGTCTAGCTACAAGTGGGTATGTTACAACCTACGACTCTTGTATCTAAAGACTTGTACACACACAGGTGAGTGACTTGTTCCAAAACAAAGTCCATCCCGTCTACAAAGATACACTCAGGCAGGATAGGAGGGAGGCGACACACTATACATGTCCTTTCCCGTACTTCTCATTTTTCTTCGGCCTCGGGAAGTGTGACATTTCAGTTCTAAATATTATTATGTCGAGTACACAATCTCTGTTGCTTCCCGTGGCGACCCGACAAGGCCTGGCCAAGAATACATTGAATTTAATGAGACTAAACTACAAGCGTTTCCTTTTTGGACATAGAAACCTTGGGCCGGGATCCCCTTCAAAGATCTAGTATAACCCAGGGTTTGTTCTGTCTTGGTCACTTGTATGAATAAAAGTAAACTCATAATATAATATCCCAGAGCAGAGACGCGAGTGTACAGAAGACGAGTTGTGGCAGAGCTCAATGAAACGGATGTGATGATAAGGGCGCGGATGTGGGGTTTCCTAGAGTGATAAAGCGCTGGGACTGTGGGACATGTTCACAACCTCAGTAGCTGTCACCCCAACCACACTCCCGCTACTGCCATGAGGTTTGACAGCATCAGTAATTACCTATTATGTGGTCACGGTGTCTGGGGATGTTGTCAAACACTGAGTGGCGCTGAGGGTACGAGCAGTGTAGTAAGATTCATGGATTAACACAGTGTTCAAGACGATAAGGTGATGGTGAAGCAGTGCGTGTTGTCAGCCCACGGCAGTACGATCCCACCTGTTATACCTGCCGGTGTGTCGTTTACGGTAAAGGATCAAGGTAAATGTTGTGTTCTGCGGCCGAGGATTGTACTGTATGTTAGCGCGCCAAGTGATGCGGTGTATGGAGTGCAAGGATAATAATAGCGGTGCGGCTGGACTGACCTGCTGTCCCTGTGACGTCTGAAGTTTTATTCAAAACATTTGCCTTAGTTGCAGCTATTTAATATATATATATATATATATATATATGTTTACAGTTCTTATAAATTGAAGAAAAAAAGAGCAATCCAGTTTCAGATACAATAATTAAAACATCAAGTAAACAGAAAACGAAGATGATATAATCTGTAACTCAAACATTGATGTACGTACGTGTGTCTGATAAGGGCCACGCGTAACAGTGATCAGTGAGACACCAGAGACCGTCGGACGTGAACACCACAAGATACTCCCATCATCGACACCAGTGGACCTTCTAACTTCACCAGCCAGCCATCCCGCGCCCCCTGTGCCATATACTCTCTACTAGTGACAAATCCACCCTACCAGTGCCACACCCTCCCAACCGAGCAGTGAGAACCATGTCACCCTCAGCATCACCAGCCGGAGACAATCACCCTTGCAGCTACCTGAAGAACACTGCCTGAGGAACATTCGCTCCAGTACACCGCAGCGGGAGCCATGGGTGTGGGTGATGGGGGTAAGGGTGAGGCCGGCAGCGAGGGTGTGAAGGGTGGGTGGCGTGTGAATGGGTTCCTCTTTCTTCTGACGGGGAGCCAGGGGGTTCTCCTCCCCTGGACCCCCCTCATACTCAAGGCTGCTGGATTCTCCGCCGTGGGTGAGTAATTTAACAGCGTCCATCTTACCTTCGCTGTTTTTTTAACCTTAACATATAATTTAATTCATACTTTCCATCACTGATCAGCCGTTCGGGAGGTCAGTCTGTTTCTGTAATACTTTATTTATGACTTTCATTGTCCAGCTCTTGCGTTTGTTTCGAGGGCGTCTGTCCTGTGCACCTACATGTCTGTGTGTGTGTCTGTCCTGTGCACCTACATGTTTGTGTGTGTGTCTGTCCTGTGCACCTACATGTTTGTGTGTGTGTCTGTCCTGTGCAGCTACATGTTTGTGTGTGTGTCTGTCCTGTGCAGCTACATGTTTGTGTGTGTGTCTGTCCTGTGCACCTACATGTTTGTGTGTGTGTGTCCTGTGCACCTACATGTTTGTGTGTGTGTCTGTCCTGTGCACCGATTCAGAAAGGATATAGGCAAGCACTGGTTTGGTAATAGAGTTGTGGATATGTGGAATAGGCTACCGAGTGCTATAGTAGGATCGGGGACGCTAGGGAGCTTCAAGACGAAGTTGGATAGGCACATGGAAGTGCTGGGATGGGTGTGAAAGGGATCTGCCCTGTATGGGCCAGTCGGTCTCCTGCAGTATCCCACTTTCTTATGTTCTATGTTCTTATGAGTGTCTGTCCTGTGCACCTACATGTGTGTGTGTGTGTCTGTCCTGTGCACCTACATGTTTGTGTGTGTGTCTGTCCTGTGCACCTACATGTGTGTGTGTGTGTCTGTCCTGTGCACCTACATGTTTGTGTGTGTGTCTGTCCTGTGCACCTACATGTTTGTGTGTGTGTCTGTCCTGTGCACCTACAGTCTGTCCTGTGCACCACATGTTTGTGTGTGTGTCTGTCCTGTGCACCACATGTTTGTGTGTGGGTCTGTCCTGTGCACCTACATGTGTGTGTGTGTCTGTCCTGTGCACCTACATGTCTGTGAGTGTGTCTGTCCTGTGCACCTACATGTTTGTGTGTCTGTCCTGTGCACCTAAATGTTTGTGTGTGTGTCTGTTAAATGTGTGTGTGTCTGTCCTGTGCACCTACATGTTTGTGTGTGTGTCTGTCCTGTGCACCTACATGTTTGTGTGTGGTCTGTCCCTGTGCACCTACATGTTTGTGTGTGCGTCTGCCCTGTGCACCTACATGTTTGTGTGTGTGTCTGTCCTGTGCACCTACATGTTTGTGTGTGCGTCTGTCCTGTGCACCTACATGTTTGTGTGTGTGTCTGTCCTGTGCACCTACATGTTTGTGTGTCTGTCCTGTGCACCTACATGTCTGTGAGTGTCTGTCCTGTGCACCTACATGTCTGTGAATGTCTGTCCTGTGTATCTGTCTGTGTGTCTAGTTCGTCACCGTCCAACTCACAGTCCTATGCCTTACATTATCTTGTCTGTATGACCTCCTTGTCTATGTCTGTATGACCTCCTTGTCTATGTCTGTATGACCTCCTTGTCTATGTCTGTATGACCTCCTTGTCTATGTCTGTATGACCTCCTTGTCTATGTCTGTACTGCTGTTTGTCTGTCTTGTATAGCTGTGTCCGCTGCCACCTGTATTATTGCTCCTTTTTTAATTATAATTTCACCACTCATCAGCCTACTAACTGTTCAGGCGGTTAGTTTATCCAGTGTTAGAACAGGAGGAAACCTGTGATGATTGGTAATGGAGGTGACACTCTTCTCACGTGTGTCTGGGCTCAGGCTCTCAACTGGTTCAGCCATGTCAATATTGTTATTATTGTCCACTCTGTATCTGTATTTTTCTGGCTAAATAAACTGTTTCAATATCGATATATCAGTATCAGTCCTTGACATATTGGTGAGATATACGCGCGTTACTGCTTTGTATAGCATAAGTTAAAACAAACATTTGTAATAGTACTCGTAACTGTGTGAGTGTGTCATCACGTAAGTAACCATACTCTCCCTGCAGGTGTGGGTTTGATGATGTGCGTCATTGCCCTGGGGTCAAGTGTAGGCGCCGTGGCGTGCCTGACGGGCGTGAGGCGGACACGGAGCGGGGCGGTGCGTCGACTGTTGCTGCTGGTGTTAGTGGCCACCGCAACCGCCCTCCAAGTGTCGGGCGTGGCCCTCCTGCAGCAGGGGGCGGGGGGCGACCTCAACCCCTGCGATTACCGAACTCACTCTGCTGCTGCTCCTCTGCCACCATTGGGCCTCCCCGTCAACACCTCACAACCAGCGTCGTCTATATCACCATCAACAGGAGCACCGCCATCAACAGGAGCACCACCATCAACAGGACCACCACCATTAACAGGAGCACCACCATTAACAGGAGCACCACCATCAACAGGAGCACCGCCATCAACAGGAGAACCACCATCAACAGGACCACCACCATTAACAGGAGCACCACCATTAACAGGAGCACCACCATCAACAGGAGCACCACCATCAACAGCACCACAACCACCACCACAACCATCACCAATACCACCACCACCTCCAACATCACAAGAGAGGCCATCGTCTTCAGTGGCACCTTCAACAGCAGTACACCAGGAAGTAGTCCTCGAGAACAACACTCATAATACGACGACCACTGAGAAACATCTGGGAGGTGCAATTTCACAGAAAACCACCACCACCACCACCATATTTACCATAAATTTCACCACTGAACCTGCCACAACTACCACCACAATACCCCTGGTCCATGATCCCGTCTCCACAATAAGTGAGACTGTCCTCCCTAATCCTCAACTCTCGAACGAGGGAGTTTCCTCACCCGGTGGAATGGTTCACGGCGGAGCAGCAACACCTGGAAGAGACGCAACACAACCTCCAGTGACGCCTCAAGACGAAGGTTTAGAAGACAAACACAAGGACAACACCCTCACACCCCCGCGGTACACTGGATACCACCAAAGTAACAAGAATAAACATTCAAAAAGTAAGCAGACAAACCCTCGTCGACCACAAGAGCCTCAGACGGGCCACAGCCACGGAAAAACGACAACGGCGGGAGAGGAACAAGATGACGTGAACAATAACAATCAAATGACAAATAACGGTGACAACAACAAACCGCTAGAGAAAGCTAATGATGACACTGACTACAACTACAGCGACAATAAACAACAAAACCAAGATTCCCAGAGAGAGTTCTCAGGTCACATCCCATCCCGGTACTCACTGAACAAACTCCCTGAACCACGGTTACCAGGAGAGTCATCAACACACACCTCGTCGGTACACTCCAGCCCAGGAGAAACACCAAAGACTCTGTTGGACACTTCGGCTCGTGACTCCTGGAGTCCCAAGTCCTGGCTAGAGAGAGACGCAGTGCCACCACGGTCACGCTTCAATCCCCTCGACCATGAGACAATATCACTTCAGGGCTTCCCAGCAGTGGCTGATAAAGGTGTCAGACCTGTGGAGACTGGAGGCGTGCGTGGGCGAGGTATGCGACCCCCCGAGCCCCACTCCAGCATCCTGTCACTCAACCAGGCCCTGGTACTCCTTCCTCACACCTCAGACAATGCTGCCCTCACGTACCTTGGCACAGGCAACAGGTGGGAAGACTCAATTTATCAATCTGCTCCTGAACTTGACCACCAAGCCCCATACAGTCAGGAATCCAGAAGTCAACATCGCCAGGGTCACTACCTGAGCCCAGACGTCAGATCACACTGGTCAGGTCACCACCGTATCCGCCGCTCCCTTCATAATTCACATAATGAACCCAAAAAATATGTAGACACAACGGATGATACAGTCAGCCGAGACGACGTGAATGACATCAAGTCACCCACAGAGACACACAATGGTACTGTAGCGAAGCCGTGGAGCCTCCCTAGTGGTGCGGGCGTGAAGACGGGTGTGGCTGTCCTGTTGATCTTGGGCGGGCTTGTTGGGGCAGGTGTGGAGGCGGGCGTGGCTCAGCTGTGGCACTGTTACGCCCACGGATATGACGAGGGGGGCGTGAGCCACGATATCTTGCAGCGTACCATCACCCACACCTTCAACCTGAGTGCCTACGCCGCCCACAAATGGTGGTCACTCCTCACCTCGGGGGCGTGGCTGCTGGGCGGCGGCATCCTCTCCATTATGGCATGTGTGGTGGGCGTGAATGTAGGGGTGTACGGCGGGATGGCGGCGCACCTGGTGTTAAGGCAAAAAGTACTGATAGTGCCCATCCCTTACGGCTCAGTGGACCCACCCAGGACGCGTCGGCCGCTCTCACTCTACTTAGACGACGAGGTGAGGCGTCACATACTAGACCATCACTCACACTACACCATCACGTCACTCACTAGACCATCACGTCACTCACTAGACCATCACTCACACTACACCATCACTCACACTACACCATCACGTCACACACTATACCATCACTCACACTAGACCATCACTCACACTACACCATCACGTCACTCACTAGACCATCACACACACTACACCATCACGTCACCCACTAGACCATCACTCACACTAGACCATCACGTCACTCACTAGACCATCACTCACACTACACCATCACGTCACTCACTAGACCATCACTCACACTACACCATCACGTCACTCACTAGACCATCACTCACACTACACCATCACGTCACTCACTAGACCATCACACACACTATACCATCACTCACACTACACCATCACGTCACTCACTAGACCATCACTCACACTACACCATCACGTCACACACTATACCATCACTCACACTACACCATCACGTCACTCACTAGACCATCACACACACTACACCATCACGTCACTCACTAGACCATCACTCACACTACACCATCACGCCACCCACTAGACCACCACTCACACCACATCATCACGTCACTAACTACACCATCACGTCTCCCACCATACCACCACTCACACCACATCATCCTCCTACCACAATTCACCACACACAAACATCACGTCACATTACCACAAAAACATACATGGCGGTAACACAAAAACAACAGCTTAACGATGACTTTTGTTTAGCTTAATTTAAAAGTACATAATCATACGCGTTAATATTGTATCACACATATAAATACATTAATGATTGTTAGCTGTAAGAGAAATGATTGTTAGCTGTAAGAGTAATGATTGTTAGCTGAAAGAGCTCACGCCTTCACCACACAGCGTCTGGAAATTAATTCACAATAACTCACAAGTTTCTTTAACACAATTTATATTTAAAGACACCAACTGTTTCCCACATCCTCGAAACTTTCTCCACTTCTGTACTTTCTCTACACATTAACTGTCCTGTACAACTTCTATACTTTCTCTACACATTAACTGTCCTGTACAACTTCTATACTTTCTCTACACATTAACTGTCCTGTACAACTTCTATACTTTCTCTACACATTAATTGTCCTGTACAACTTCTATACTTTCTCTACACATTAATTATCCCATAACTTTCATATTTTCTACAAGGCCAATCAACCGCATAACTTCTATATTTTCACATTATCATTCGTCCTGTACAACCCCATACATTCTTCATACATTAATTGTCCTGTAAGGAAACCTTAAATTTTCTCTACACATGAACAACTGCAACTTTCATACATTCTACACATTAATTGTCCTGTACAACTTCTATACTTTCTCTACACATTAATTGTCCTGTACAACTTCTATACTTTCTCTACACATTAATTATCCTGTACAACTTCTATACTTTCTCTACACATTAACTGTCTTGTACAACTTCTATACTTTGTCTACACATTAACTGTCCTGTACAACTTCTATACTTTCTCTACACATTAACTGTCCTGTACAACTTCTATACTTTCTCTACACATTAACTGTCCTGTACAACTTCTATACTTTCTCTACACATTAACTGTCCTGTACAACTTCTATACTTTCTCTACACATTAATTGTCCTGTACAACTTCTATACATTCTCTACACATTATTTGTCCTGTACAACTTCTGTACTTTCTCTACACATTAATTGTCCTGTACAACTTCTATACTTTCTCTACACATTAATTATCCTGTACAACTTCTATACTTTCTCTACACATTAACTGTCCTGTACAACTTCTATACTTTCTCTACACATTAATTGTCCTGTACAACTTCTATACTTTGTCTACACATTAATTGTCCTGTACAACTTCTATACTTTCTCTACACATTAATTGTCCTGTACAACTTCTATACTTTGTCTACACATTAATTGTCCTGTACAACTTCTATACTTTCTCTACACATTAACTGTCTTGTACAACTTCTATACTTTCTCTACACATTAATTGTCCTGTACAACTTCTATACTTTCTCTACACATTAATTATCCTGTACAACTTCTATACTTTCTCTACACATTAACTGTCTTGTACAACTTCTATACTTTCTCTACACATTAACTGTCCTGTACAACTTCTATACTACCATAGCCTCATTTAACGGGCGCCCACGTGTACCGGACTCCCCTACCAGCACCTAACACATTGGTAACAAATAATGTTACAATTTACACCGTGTACGTCAGGCCTAAGGTTCAAAACAGCTTAACTTTACACTCTTTCCCTTCCATCAGCTTTCCTATAATGGTTTTCCTAACGAGCCTATTACCTAATGTCATAATAGGCTCCGGTTCAACCTAATTTAATCACCAAGACTGCATGGACCCAATCATAGTGGTCATATTGCAGGCATAAGGGAAAGGTCATGTTGCAAGGGACAATGAAAAGGTCAAGTTGCAATGCATAAGGGAAAGGTCATGTTGCACCGTATGAAGCACAGGTCAATATTTACAGGTGTTGCGGGAAGGTGTGAGGCGCCTGACCTTCCATTCGTGGGTGTTCGCCAATGGCACCCTCGCCGCCTTCTCCTACACCTTCAGTATCTGGCTACTGCAGGAGATGACCCAACAGGTGAGATCTCCCAATTACTCATAGGTGTGTGAGTATTAGTAGTGGTAAGTAGGAGTAGTAGTAGGAGTAGTAGTAGGAGTAGTAGTAGTAGTAGTAGTTAGTAGTAGTAGTAGTAAGTAGTAAAAAAATAGTTTTAATATTCTGTCACAACTAATCAACTAAACAACCAATCATACACTCAACTAAACAACCAACAAATCCTTCCCTTAACCAATCACACACCTCAACTAATCAACCAACTCACCAATCATACACCTAACCAATCAACCATGATGCATCACATAGTCTCGTCTTATATTTCAGGAGTCGGCATTGGCACCACAGACGGGGGCACTAGCCATCACACTGGCATCGGAAGGCTGGCACTCCACACGCAGCGGTGGGTCATGTCCCGGTGTGGGCTTCAGGGGACCATGGGCGTGGGCGGCGTGGGTTTGATGCTGCATTTCGGCACGATGTGGGCGACGAGTAATGTAGCCGTTGTGGTGTTGTCACATGTCGGGCTGGGCTTTGGGTTGGCTCTCATGTGGATCTCCGTCAAAAACAATGCCCTTCTCTTAGCTACAGTCAGTAAGTCTCCGTTAATACTCAGTTAATAAACTCTTCTTCCTTCACACCAGTAAGTCATATCAGTAAGTCTTTCCTCGACCACTAAGTCACACACACACACACACACACACACACACACACACTACTATAATTGATTCAAGTAGTAAAATTATTAATGTTCTCTTGACGCCATTTTAGAATCCGGGTCAAGATTCCCGTCGATACAATTTTTGATCTTGTCCCAAACAGCTGACCAGGAACGTGAGGCGTGGGCGTCATGGTGGTGCTGGCGTCTAGGCTTGGGCTTGGGGGCGGTCTTGTGGGGGATGGGCGTGCAGACTGTGGGGGAGAGGATACGCCCGCTGCTACTCCACGCCACACTCATCTCTGCAGCTATGGCCTCTACCGTCGGCGTGGCAGCCATAGTAACTAGGTATAGTAAAGTCAACTCTTACGGTGCTGCTGTAAGTCACTGTTATTCCTAGTAATGTTATCAGTGTTATTTAGGTCTCCTAATACCCACCAGATTACTATTACTAGTTTACGACAAATTCCTGGTAAACAGTTGAATATTAATTATCTATGAAACTTTTCTTTTCTAAATGTTTTGGTAATGTTAACTCGCGTAAGAGCAGCGAGGGTAGAGATGGGACGAGGGTGACTGTAGAGAATTTTCCGAATTTTCATAATTAACTACAGGTATGTCCCTCTGTTTTCCGTGTCTCTTATTCTTAAACTATTTTTAATTCCCTTGTGTCCGATCCCTTACTCCTCATTTATCCTAGTTTCTCTTATCCACTGGCTTTATTAGCTTAATCCTCCCACTCCCTTCCTCTTCAACCCCCCATGCCTCACCTCCCTCCGTCTCACATCACACATCTTCATGACTGTCAACACTCTTCCACACTGAAGCTGGTGAGGAAGGTTAAGCTAAAATAAGGGATTTGTGGAATTCACGATAATGTAATCTGTCTAATTTCAATTTTTTTCTATTAATATTGTTATTTTTCATCAAGATCATCTGAATCATGAGTATATACAGGTCTTGGTCAATATTGGTGCAATGTTTCTGGTAATAAGAGCAAGTTGAAATCAGGAAATTGCCCAAGTATTCACTCAAGACGTGTTTGATGGTGTAAAGTTTCTCAAAATTGATTATTTCTTGGTTATCTATATGTTTCCAATAAAACATTTACATTTTGGTTCCCACAAACAAAATATTTCCGATTAAAACAGGAAATTGAAAGCTGATACCACTTATCTATTTTCTCCAGTGAAGGACAAGTTAGTACACTACACCTCGATACGCAACGTGGTGACCGTGAGGGAGTCTATTTAACTTCTCTACCACATATTTTTGCACCAATGTTACTAAAGAAAATTTACTTGTGTTGTTGTCGACAGGCGAAACTGGCGAACCCGACGAAGAGTATATCACACCCTCGACCTCAATATGGCAGACGATGACAACGATGAGGACGACGACCCTTGCGAGGACGACTGGTTGGTCAAGAGGGCCAAGAAGGAGGGCATCACACTCTGAGGAAGACGAGTTGTGGCTGAGAATTAAGTCGAGAGAAAATCACGGGTGAGAATTAAGTCGAGAGAAAATCACGGCTGAGAAACAAAACAAGTGACGATAAATCAGTGTGAAAGTGAAGATAATGTAAATGAAACTGAAATAAACGAAATAAATTGCCTATGAGGAACACGATAAATGAATTACAAGCTGATGGTCATGGTGAACTTAAAAATGGGAAGCAGCTGTTGGGTATTCGAAATATAAACTGGATGGCAGGGTGACTAGCCTAGCAAGAATCACGCGAAAGACACACTAGACAAGTGGTTCTCAAACTCGGGGTAATTACCCCAACTGGGGTAAAAACTACATTTTGGATGGGGTAATATGCTTCTGTTGGCACGGTGGGGTAACCTCGCATTAACACTTATAACACTTACGTTTGCCGTGTTTGGCAACTCGCGAAGTATGCGCCTCAAGTTGCCATTAGTCACTAGTGATTAGATATATTTAAATTGAGTCGGTTTACTGTCCGTATCTCCCGGCCGAAATAGCCCAAAGGCGAAGTGGCCAGCAATCCCCAATACAAGTCACAAAGTCCGTATCACTCCAGAAGCTGCAGTGAGTGGGTGTATGTTGTGCAGTGACTCTGTGATTGGAGGTAACGAAAGCTTGGCCACGTTCCAAGCTCAGATATGAGGCTGGCTCTGTCAAAGACTAAACCACGCATCCAAAATCTGGTGTCGACAAAACAAGTTCATCCATTGTCTATAAGAGCACTGTAACTGCAGCACTATTATTGATTTTTGTATAAGACAGACTAGAATTGTACACTTGTGTTTTGTATAATACAGTTTATTGGAGGAGTAAAATTTGCAAGTACATTTGTAAGCTTGTGTTTTGTATATTAAACTTTATTGAATAAAATTAAGGAGTAAAATTTGTAAGTACATTAATTTTGTAAACTTGTGCTTTGTATAATAAACTTTATTGAATAAAAAGTAAGGAGTAAAATTTTACGATGGGGTAATTCGAACCTGTCAGACTTTAAATAGGGAAAAAACTGGAAAAAACGTTTGAGAACCACTGCACTAGACTATGTCACACTGTTCAGTCGCTGCCCCAGAAATATAATATTCTTGCAAACCGTCAATGATTCATTATTTATTTTGCTATAACTGAAGTGATGGCGTCAGGGAGAAGCGTTGATCAGTGTGTTAGGGTAAAAATCCTCAACTTGTGACTTTGAAAAATTATTCTCCATGAAAACACAATATACTGAAATTTAAAAGCCTATATTTTTCGTTGAATTCTGATGAGTGATTACAATTTCTACCATACCGAAGTGAGACCACCTGTAAATAGTTCTTGTGTAAAAATTACAATTTAAGATAAACTGTTACAATAAGTGTGTGTGTGTGTGTGTGCGTGTGTGTGTGTGTGTTTCTCCGTTTACGACAGAGAAACAAACTGTTCAAATTTTACCCCTGTCATTTATGTAGTGTGAAAAGATCAGACAGCACAGTACTAAATATATCATAGACAAGTTACAAGTAATACAACAAATCTCCAAAGATAATTTCCTTTATGATATTCAGACTTAAAACAGATCATTATTAAAAGCAAACGAGAATTTAGACAAAATATAACATGAAAATAACATGAAAAACTTATTAAAATGAAAATAACAGGAAAAATCATTAAAATTAAAATGACAGGAAAAAAAACTCCCAAATATGAACTATAGGACTATAGGCTTCACAACACATGATGGCGTATAGCTCACAGTTTGTTGACTCGACACTATAATGTTAATGTATGTTTTCGTGTGCGTCAGGTTGTGAGCCCGATAACTCTTAAAAGGCGGCCAAAGATATTTAGAATCCTGAACAAATATACAAATCATATCCAAGTCATTCCTTCAAGATGCCAAATGTTTCATAAACACTCAACCATCTGTCAAATGCTTCATAAACATGTAGTGTACTGTAAGTGGCCAGTTGTCAATTCTCTTTAGTTGTCTATTATCTCTTTGTATGGGCTCACATACGTACGTACATGTAGATACCTTCACTCAGGAATGAGGTTGGATAGAAACTCACGATGCGCTTCCTGTATATATATTGTTGTACAGCGCAGTGCTTAGGAGTGACTAGGTGAGGAGCTGAGAGAGATGTTGCTGGTCCAGTAGTTGAGTGTAGGATGTCCTCCCGATACGATCCGAAGTCTTTAGTTAAGAGGTGAAAGAAGATTATTAGGAGTTGAAGGAAAAGTGGTGAAACTGAAATACAGTAGGAGTAGAAAGAATCTGGGCTCAACCAGATCGCTTCATCTTTCTTATTGGTGTTTTGTCTTTGTTCTGCTCCCTTGGGTCGTCAGACCTTTGTATTAATATTGGTTTATTTATATAATGCTGCTTATTATTATTATTTTTATTATTGTTGGAGTTAGTGAGCCCGCCCAGGTCCTTGTGTAACTGGGAGGGTAGTCACATTTTTTTTTTTTGAGGTGTTAGTTAAGTGTTAGTTGTGTTAGTCTAAAGGTACACTGTATGGAGAGGCCTGCCAGGTTCTTAGTGGAGCTGGTTGGTCACTCTCATCTTTATTCCTCTAGTAATGTTTTATGTGTAAATGTGTATATTGGGGCAGGAGGTGGTTCAATTACTTCTTCCTGGCTAATGTAGCTGGGAGGGTAATCACATTATTATTATTATTTTATTATTATTATTATTATTTATTTTATTTTTTTCGGAGTTAGTGAGCCCGCCCAGGTCCTTGTGTAGCTGGGAGGATAATCACATTTTTTTTTTTTGCTAAGATGTTAGTTCAATGTTAAATGTTAATTGTTAAATATTAGTTATGTTAGTCTAAAGGTACACTGTATGGAGAGGCCTGCCAGGTTCTTAATGGAGCTGGTAGGTCACTCTCATCTTTTATTCTCTCTATTAATGTTTTATATGTATATTGGGGCAGGAGATGGTTCAATTACTTTCTTCCTGGCTGATTTAAACCAACTGTGCTCTTGGAATTCTTCGTTGTCTATATTATTTATCCAGTTTTGATATGTTTCTGTGTTAAGTTCAGTCACTTTTTTCCAAATATTTACAGCTTTGTTGTGTATATCTACATTGATTGCTAAGAGGTTTGCTCTCTTGTGTAGCGTTGCCGTATTTATACAATTTACCAGGATCAGGATCTGGGGTGCGCGTAGCGAGGTGACCAATCACAGCGGCTCCAACGTAAGGTGTGAAACGCTCTGATCCTGAACTGGAGGTTGATGGTCGAGACTAGGTCGGCGATCGTACCCCTACGTCCTCTGCATAGACCTAGTCTCTCGGCGTAGCTGGCTGCACGCATCAGACACTCTCTCT